CATCAAGAATGAGCAGGGTGTGCTACTTACAAGCAACGCAGATATTTGCAAGAGATGGGAAGAGTATTACTCTCACTTACTAAATGAAGCCTACCCGAGCGAAGAACTCATCAAAACACCACCCACCGAAGGCCCAATTTTCGCTGTCACTCCAGACGAAGTCAGAGCGTCCATCAAAGCCATGGCAAATAACAAGGCCACTGGGCCCGATGACATACCTGCCGAGCTCTGGAAAAAATTGGGAACTCACGGAGAATCCTTTCTCACCCACCTCTTCAACCGGATTCTCAAAGATGGGATACCAGATGAATGGCGCGACAGCTTTTTAGTGCCATTTTATAAAAATAAGGGTGATATAAGACTATGCGAAAACTATAGAGCCATCAAATTAATATCCCACACCCTTAAAATCTGGGAAAGAGTAATTAGCAAACGGCTTCATTTAATCACCAGTGTGACTGAGAATCAGTGTGGCTTTGTCACTGGTAAGTCTACCATCGACGCCATCCACTCAATACGAGTTCTGATGGAGAAGAGAAGGGAGAGTCAGCAAGATCTACATATGGTCTTCATAGATCTAGAAAAGGCCTTCGACCGCGTCCCCAGAGATCTCATCTGGCAGTCTCTGCGAGCTCAAAACGTGCCAGAATGGCTCGTCCAACTGGTGACGGACATGTACAGGGAGGTGAAAACTAAGGTGCGCAGCCCCGCTGGTCTTAGTGACCAATTCGACGTGGAAGTCGGCGTGCATCAAGGGTCAGCTCTTAGCCCACTACTTTTCAACTTAGTGATGACCCATATCACACCTGACCTGCAGAAAAAGCCCCCTTGGAACATCTTATACGCGGATGACATAGCCCTCATTAGTGAAGATGTGGAGGAGTTACAGATCACGCTAGAACAATGGCGCAGTGCTTTGGAAAATGCTGGCCTGAGAGTCAGCAGACAGAAGACTGAGTATATGCACTGTAACTTCTCCAACTCAACACATGGCACCATACACCTCCAGAACACCCCACTCAATAGGGTAGAATTCTTCAAATACCTTGGCTCTATCCTGTCGAGCAACGGCACCATAGAGCTCGACGTCTCCAACCGCGTCAACACTGGCTGGATGAAGTGGAGGGAGCTGACGGGTGTGCTGTGTGACTCTAGAATGCCTGTACCAGTCAAAGGTAAAATCTACAAAACTGCCGTAAGACCAGCCCTAATGTACGGCTCGGAATGCTGGCCGCTCAAGAAGCAGCAAGAACACCAGATGCATGTCGCCGAGATGAAAATGCTCAGATGGTCTGGTGGCGTCACGCGCTTGGACAAAGTGAGGAATGAGCACATCCGCGGCACTTTTAGAGTCAGGCCAATCCCAGAAAAGCTGCTGGAGAGTAGACTGAGGTGGTACGGGCATGTCATGAGGCGGCCAGAAGATCACATGACCAAGAGAGTTCTTGAAATTAAAACCGGACCAAGAGGACGAGGAAGACCCCGTTTAACATGGCAATCAGTCATAAAAAAAGATCTGCAAACGGCCCAAATAGATCCGCAGACGACCCAGGACAGAACGTCCTGGCGAAGATTGATTAGGAGAGCCGACCCCAATTAAAATGGGATAGGGCGAGGATAAAGAAGAAGACTACAATTTTTGGGCAGTATTAATTCTTACGTGACATTATTACGTGACTGTATCGTCTAAAATCGAATATTTTATCAAATTAAAATGGACTCATTATTCTCTGAGTACTAGACATTTTTTTTAAATTCATTTTTATTCTTTGTGCACAAAAATGAGTTGTACACGAAATCATTATATGGCGCACTTAATGCCACAGGCATTTTCTCCCAGTCTACCTTAGGGTGGTGATGAAATGTGCGACAAGGTGCATTTGCGAAGGTAAAAGACAAATTGACTGCAGTTATTCAGAAGGCGGTCATATTTATTGAATATTATGTGTGTGATGTATGTTATTATGACTTGAATGCAGACCGCATACAAGTCATAATAACATACATCACCATAATCCAAGATGAGGACAATAAGGGTCTTCACAAGCATCGCTTTTGTCTCAGAGGGGAGGAAATTCTTAAGCCTGTGACTCTCTGGTTGACGCTCGTGACCTAGGTTTTCCGTCTGAGCTTGGAGTCGATAATTAGGACTAGGTTCTTAACGTTAGGACTAAAAGGAATGACTATGCCATTAAAGGTAATGGGTAGCAGTTTACTTTTTCTTTATAGTGTGGAAACTCCCTCGGGCGGTCAGCCGCCCCGCCGCAAACCCCGGTGGGTTTGCGGCGGGGCGGTGTGTAGGGATCAAACCGACTACAACCACACGGTGTGCTACTTCGCGCCTGAGATAGAAGGGGCCGGGAATAGCTGGTATTAAGACATCCGGACCCCTCCCAGCGCCTGCCCGCAACAGCGCGGGCACCATCGTTGGGTAAATTCTCCGGCGACGTCCGGCACACGCGGACGTCGCCTAAATCTAGAGTTTACCAGCCAGTACTCGGGCCGGTACCCCGTGTGGCCCGGGGCGGTCGTTTTGGAACGGATCCGTAGAACATCCGCCCCTACCTCATTGCCGATAAACATCAGGCGAGCGTAAACGATAAAACGCTTTAAGAGAATGGTTCCGAAATTTTATAAACTTTGATTACCTAAGTCAATTACGCGTCAAGGCATGATAAGAACGTTCCTTTTCTTTTTTACGTCTCTTTTATGTGATATACTTAACTAGCTATATATATATATATATATATATGTATATGTGTATGTATATTGTATATGTTCTTATGTGTAAATATTTATTTAATTTTACCATTGCACCTTCAACTACGAGTACTACTGTCTCTCCAAAACATTTTAATCCATCCATCCATTTTAATAATACTTGTAAAATGTGTGCAAATAAAGAGTGATGGGAGTCGCGAGACATAACCATGTCACTCCTTTCAGGACTACGATATGCCGACGGCGGCATAAAGATAACGTCTCCCAAAGCCTGCTCGGTGGCAGTGTAAGTACACGCCGAGTCCGTCCTCTTTTCTCCATCAATGATAGTGGAGAAACTCCAACCCCTGAAAGGGTCCCGCCTTCGTGATTTTTTATCGAGGTTTTTCCCTTCAATGCACCTAATAGCGAAGAGCCAACAGAGGAATCGGCAGACACCCCCGCTCTGTTGCACCAGGCCGCGACCCAATGGCCGAAGAAGGATTGCCAGGAGGCCATCTAATACGAAGAGGACTTCGTACTAGAATATAAGCCGTTGGCGATGACGCCCTCCTCCTAATAACGGAGGGTGCACCATGTGGAGGACTAGTCTTCCTTGCCTTCCAGTCATACGTTGACTGCCTGTTGAAGCCATCATGGCTTGACTCTTCACTCACAATTTCGAGGCTCTATGCTTTCAACATATTTTTGAATACACACGTGATACATTCAGGTGATTGTCTACTCAACAACCTTGACATCATGCCTTATGTATGGAAATGTAGGTAGATGATAGACGTACGTGACTTACTGAATTAATCATATTATTATGTTTTTAAGTTACTCTTTGTTTTATGACCTCCTTTGATCTTTGGGTGTCGTTTAAATTAAATTTATTAATATTTATGTACATTGTGATGGTAGTCGCATTGAACTTTGGTATCAATTTCATTCATTTAAGTATGTTTATCAGCAATGTAGTTATGTATGGTGTTTATTTTTTTTTATTATCATTTCAGTCTATTCAAATTCAAATTATATATTTGCTATAAAGGGGGTAGTACATATTGTGGTATAAAATGCGAACAGGCTCATTCAGCATTGAAAATAGCTTGCAAATTTTATTTAAAAAAGTTATGTATGAGATATATTATTTTATTGTCATTATTCATCAGTTTTTGTGTATTGATTATAATTTTACTTTTATTCATTATACCTACTACACTCCACCATTCAAAAAGTCCTTGACTGAATGAAATGTATTAGTAAGTAACCAATCTTTCAGGGCTGGGACAAACTTATTTAAGGGTAATTGTTTCAATCGTTCTGGGATTTTACGAGTATTGAAGGCTTTAACGAACATAGCGTAATTTTTTTTTTAATTTTATTGACCTAGGTATCTACGCATTTTGTGGAATTGTTATGATTAGTCCAATGTCTTTAATATTTTTACATACTACATATTTGTGAAGTAGTATTAATATACATACTCCATACATAAAAGTGTGGTTTGGAAAGGTATTAAGAATAGATGACAAATAGAATATGTACTTACGTGGTATCTAGACACGCGGCAGCGTATACAGCCAAGTTCAAAGAAAAAGGAACTGACGACGCAGCAGCCTTGTGTAATATTACACGAATAATTTCCAGTTCATAAACTTTGCTCAAATACTTATAAAGCTATAAATATTTGTAAGTAAAGCAAGCAAGACTTAACGTTTAAAAACCAGCACTTTTATGACTGACTCACTCACTGACTTATAGATAAAAACCTAACCCACTTCCAGATGACCTATATACTTGATATCTGGCATCAAGGTAGACTATTAGGCATATACAACGGAAAAAATCTAAAAATTGAAAATTAGTATCAACAAAGTTAAGTATGAAGGTAGGTGAAATACTCGGTATTTTTATGGTTTTAATCCCGCGGATAAGTGGTTTAACTTACGAAGTAATAGTCCTCAATAACTTATTCTGCATTATATCCCTAAAATAAAAAAATGAATAGGGTGTTGATAATCTAATATTCGCAAAGTGCATGAAAACAGAAGTAGCGCCACGACTGAATAAAATAAAAGTAATGTTTTTTTTTTCACTAAAGCGAGAACTGTTTCGAGTTTATGAAAAAACGGGTAATTATATTTTTTTTATTTTAAATACACAAATCGATACTGTTTCATGCACCCTATCATCCTTCCACATTATACACACGGTTAGTTTACGATCAAAAAGTAACCGTGTGTATAATTTTGTTTCCTATATCGTAAAGTTAAGACTGTTGAAAGTTAGGTTTTATGCCGGCGCGGTCTGAATTCGCCCCGATTCTATCGCACAGGATAGGAACGCGGGAAGGGCAAAAGGGATGCGGCGTGCGCGGGGTGTCATCTCCAACTCCTCCAGTGAGACAACTGTCGCCATTTGAAAACTTGAAGTCGTCTGATATCTTTAAATATTTAGGTTCAATTAGCGCTCCAAATTTATGGGCAGAACTATTTTCTTATGGCAAATGGACAGTAAATATGAGGCATAACAACGACCAACTTTTAGGCGAAATATTAAATCGTGCAAGAATAGGTGTAGTAACAAGCCAAGACTGTTGTGCTTTATCTAAACGACTCCTTAAGTTTGCCGCTAAAAATCAAAACAACCGAATTTAGCAATTATAACTTATTTAAAAACTGATGCCCGATAATACTGTATGTTTATTGCTAACTAAAAATATGTGTAATCAGTTTATTATAATTATTAATGCAATGTTGGCAAATATGGAACAACTAGAAATTAAATTAAATTCTATAGATGAAATACACTGTCCACGGTATTTAAAACACGAATAAAGAAAGTATTGAAAGAAAACGAGGATGATTCGTCATTAACCGCAAGCTTCGAAAATGTTATTATGATAAAAATAGGTGCACGTGTATTGTTGCGAAGAAACATAGATGTCAGTAAAGGGCTGGTAAACAGATACATTGCAAAAATAAAGAGAGTTCATTAGGAGTCGACAGCAACAATAATGCACGTAAAATTACCAAATTAATGCACGTAAAATTACCAAATTAATGCACGTAATTTTAACCACAATTTAATTTACAAACTAGAACGTGTCAAGACCAAGTTTCACATACTGATTAAAGCATATGTTCACCGAGAACAAATCCCTATTTGCTTAGCGTATGCTGTTACTATCCACAAATCACAAGGCCTTTGTCTTGACAGCGCTCTTCTCGACATGGGCTGCTCAATATTTAGCGAAGAGCAAGCCTACGTTGCACTCTCCAGAGTTAACACCTTAGATGGAGTACATCTTATAAATCTCGACCCAAGTCAAATCAAGGCACAAGAAAGTTCTATAGTACGATAATAGTAGTAGTAGTAGTAGTTATACCGCCCCGACTTGGCCAAATTAAAAATAAACAGAAAACGTTAAAAAAAAACAGATAATGAATGGGCAATTCACTCTAATATTTCTAAGGTACAAGAACATATATGGAAAATAGCACAAAAAAGGAACTAAACTCGGTTCCAAAATAACGGGTCAGTCACATAAACCCTAATGCCAGCCATCCTAATGAAACGAAGACTGTTCAATTGAGAATTTAATTATACAGATAAAAAATAAAATAAAACTTAAATCTAAACTCTCTAACTCTTAACTTATCTCTAAATTAAAAAAAAAACTAAAGTAGTCATATTTTTCTTAAGATTACATTTTTTTATTATTGTTTTTTTGCTGTTTTTCATCACTTTCTTCATTTAATACTTTGTATTGCCTCCACGAGCTCTTCTGACAGGCGATTAGGCACGTTGTACACCAAATTTCGGAGCCGGTGCTGAGGAATACCTTCCCATTCCTCCACCAGTGCTTGTTTGAGCTCGGGAAGCGTGATTGGTGGGGGGTTTCGACCTTTCACGCATCTCTGAAGCTCGTCCCAGGCGTACTCGATGGGGTTTAAGTCCGGGCTTCGCGCTGGCCACTGCATGAGTTCGATACCGACCTCGTCAAGGTAGTCATGTACAATTCTGGCGGTATGGGGACGCGCATTATCATGCATTAATATGCCATGCCGGTCCATCCTGGCCATGAGAGGACCTTAATGTTCATTGAGGATCTCTTCCACGTACCTCTCTGCATTTAGAGTTCCATTTTGAATGAGTACCAGCTCGGTGCGGGCCTCAGTAGAAATCCCAGCCCAAACTTGTACGGAGCCTCCACCGTACGCCACTTTTTCCTCCACACACGCTTGATGGAAGCGCTCCTCTGGTCTTCTGTACACCAACTGCCTACCATCATGCTTATAAAGCATGAATTTAGACTCGTCCGTGAACATTACCCTAGACCAATCGTCTAGTGTCCAGTTTAGGTGCTCGCGCACGTATCTCTGTCTTGCAATTCGATGTCCCCGTTCCAGTTTGGCTCCATTTGCGGGCCTCAATAGTTTCAAATTTGCTTCAGCAAGACGTCTTCTTACTGTTTGAGCGCTTAAATTGCCACCTCCAAAGCGAATAAAGTGAGTTTTTAGACCAACAGCAGTTTGAAAACGATTTCGGAGCATTGTAGCCACCAGTTGTCTGTCTTCCCTGGCCGTTGTGCATCTTGGTCTGCCATTTCCTGGTCTTCTAAGGTGTGATCCGGTCTCTTGGTACCGCTTGACTACCCGCTGAACAGTCGACAAAGATACACCAATGTTTCTGGCTCTTTCACGCTGGCTCCGCCCAAGTTCCAAAAAAGTTAGGATTCTGGTACATTCCTCTAGCGTGACTGCCATGCTTCACCTCACAGAATAATAATTATGCACGTGGAAGACGTTCACGATATTTTTTTTTTGTGACAGAATAGAAATGGAAAGCATCTAAGTATAATGAAATCAAACAAAAATTTTGTTTTTAAAAATAGTCATTTTTTAAAATTTTATTTTTCTAATGAAGTTTTTTTCATCAACCAGTTTAAATAATATGCTATTAGAAGCGCAACTAAAAAGTCTTTATTCTGTTTTTTATTTCATTGATCTAACTTTTACAGTTCTGGAGGTATTTCAATTTTTGTGACTGACCCGTAATTTTTGGAACCGAGTGTATATAACGTAAACGTAGGTAAATAGAGTATAATTTTACAAAAACAATATATATCTAATTTTGTAAGCGTATGGAAATTAACACAAACACGTAACAATATATATTATATACCTTTGAATAGCCTGACGTGTCAACAAGGTTCCTTAGCCTGTAACCGAGGTCAGAGCAACTTGGTAAATACGTCTTGTTAATTCCTGTACCTACACCTAATTATATAGAATGGAAGGCGAAAATTTAAAAGTTAGTTTATAAAAGATTTTGACTTGTTTTTTATATTCGAGTCATCAATTTATCGACACATAATGACAAGTCTCTTCTCAAGCTACCTAAGGGATAGATGTCAGTATGTTGACTGTGGGGAATGTTTTTCTGAACCGTACTTTTCGAGATCTGGTGTAAGTCAGGGCAGTAACCTGAGTCCGTTTCTCTTCGTTTTTTAGTAGTTAGTAACATTTGCCATTGCTATTTGCGGATGACCTGAAGTAGGTTCGAAAGATATGGCAAAATGCGGATCACGATTTGCTGCAGCATTGCTGGGTATAGATAGGGTAGTAGCGTGAAGCTTAGAAAATAAACTATATTTTAATGTAAGTGTTCCGTTTTATTGTTCAGCCGAGCGCGTAGCCCTGGATACTACCAGTACCACATGCAGGGGTCGCCTCTCCATCGGATAAACGAGGTCAGGGATTTGGGCGTTCGTTTCAGCCCAGATTTAAGTTTTGATTGTTGTATCCTACACTGTTTATTTTAGGCATGGTGAGATATTACAGGTTAGAAGTGAGGAGAGAAGTAGCTTTAGCCATGTACATATTTAAAGTGTTACGTGGCTAGATATACAACCCAGCTATCCTACAGGAGACCTCACTGTGGGTGCCCTACGATTACGTGACGCGGCGGCGGTGCCCGCGCCTGCGTGTGGTGCCGCCCGCGCGCACCAATCTGCTGCAGCGGACGCCGTTTACTCGCGAGATGCATGCTCTCAATGCGGTGTCGGAACTGTCGGATCATGTTGACAATTTTTCGTGTTCGCTTAATGAGTTCACAAAGGCCATATATTGCGTACTGACTAGCTCTAGTTTTTAATTTTATGTTATTACGTATTTTATCATAAATTTGTTTTTTTACTTTTGTGTTAATTGTTTAAGATATGATTTTAAACAATTACGACTAAATGATCAATCGGAATTGAATGGCTATTTTTAAATTACCCGTACCTGCACTGACAGATTACCATATAACATGTTATTGTACCTAGTCCCTGTAGCACTCTGTACTGGATTCTCAAGTTTTTTAATTTTTTTATATTTATGGATTAAAAATACTAGTTGTCGCTATTATTTTGCATGTAAACTGTTTTTTTGACAATAAACAGTTCCAAGTGAGAGAAATTTGATTAATAGAGAAACAAAGAAATTTCTTCAAGCTTTAATATATTATGTAATAAGGCAATTTATTATAAAAAGCCCTATAAGGCTTTTTAAAATAAATTGCCTTATTAAGCATAATAAACTAACTAGCCCTTATATGCTCTATATATCGCACAGTCGCCCTATAGAGCTCAAAATAGAATACCAAGTATTAACTTGTGATTCCATTTTGAGCTCTATAAGGATATCATAATGCCAATTAAATACTTGCATATTCGTAAACATTTATCCTTTCTATACTTCTGTTAATAAGGAAATAATGGAGTTTTAAGGTTAATTATAGTATTTATATTTAATCCACAGCTAAAAATTACCTTTTAATATTTGTAATAATAAATTAATAATTAATTAATTTATTATTAATAATTTTACTATTAATTAATTTATTTTTTATTTATTTATTAATAATTATTTTTTTTTTTTTTTTTTTTTTTAATATTTGTAATGTTGTACCTAATTATTTATTTTTTATACATAGGTTTAACAATATCACAGATATTATGATTTCATAGGAGTTTTTATCACTAAACATAGACTAAAGGATTGTCTCGGTATTCTACGTAATGTATTTCATTCTGATCAATAATCTCAACTTTTAGAGAGGAAAAATAGATTGTTTCGTATTTCACTTACTATCATTTTCGGCACACACAGTAGCATAAACCATTTAAAACTATAAAGTAAACATTTTGATCAATTTAGGTATACGCCTTTTTTTTTTTTTTTCCGTGCGGAAATCCCCTCGGACACCACCTGTCGGTGGCATGTCGGACTCGAACAGACTAAAACCGCACGCCGTCTCGGGTACTAATAGCCAGGGAACCAGGTATACCCTAGAAAGGAAGTCCCTGGTGCCCCGACATACCTCGGGTCATCTACAGACGAGTAGACGACCCCCCCCCGTGTGGGAACCCCATGTTCCCTGTGCTCCCTAGAGGCGAGCGCGCTTCGCAACGCGCTCGCCGCCACCCCGGCCTGCTTCTGCTAGGGTGACAGATGGCCTCACCTGTCACCCCCAGGCCTGCGCTTATGGAGGACGGAGGTCGTTCTGCGACCTCCGGCGCCTGAGTCGCCTGCAGTACCTGGCCCGTTCCCAGGCCTGGCGGGCCGGGAGAGTCCTAAACCTCTCCCGGTCCCGCTCCGCCGTCTCCTTC